GTCGATTTACAATATATCCCTAAATCAGGCTGTCATCCTTGCTCTCTTATATCTACATGTCCTAATTTATCCATTATAACAGTGGAACAACTGGCTTTACAACAACAGATCGAGTTGCTCCAGCAACAGCAGCAACAAATTGCTGCCACTCATCAGCAATATGTCAACATGGGTCTTTTGCAACCCCAACAACCCCTCCAGCATGTTGCTACTTACTCTCCCTCCATGCAAGCCCAGGCTATCTCCGGTGTTGCAACTCATAACAACTTTCAGTTCCCCCAAGCCCAACAGCAGCAGCCACAACATCTGGGCATCCCAATGAATACTCAAAATCGACCCTCCCACCGACGCAACCAGTCTGCTCTGCCTAATGTAAGCGTGGGCCCACCCCCTGCGCCTTCTTCGGGTTCGGCTGGTACCAACTATGGTGATTACAACCAGAGTCAGGCCCAGGGCCAAGGTCAGAGTCAGGTTCCGTCCAATCAAAATCGGGAGAATGGCCAGCAATCTCGCGGCCGTGGTGGTGCTCCTCCAGGTGGCGGCCATCAACGTCGTCATTCACTGGCGCTTCCTGAAGCTAGAAAAGCTGCGGAACTGGCACAGCAAAAGCGAACAACCTCGGGCTTCCAATTTCCAATTCCAGGTACTTCCGGTGCGTCTAGCACGTCGAATCAAGGTGATGGTTCCCCTAGTGAAAAAACAGTCCAACCTTCAACATCTACCGCTCAAGCTCCTCAGGGACTAGGCGTTCAGCGTGCTGGAAACATTCGAGCTGGAAGTCATATGCGTAGCCAGTCTTTGGCTGTAGGAAGTGGACGTGGTGGACCTCAGGGTGGCAGAGGTGCTGGAGGGTTCCAGTTTCCCCAGGCAAATGAGGGAACTCCCGCTACGGATACACCTCGACGCACTGGTCAACAAGGGCATGGTCGATCAGCTTCACGCAACTTTGACAGCAACTGGCGCCAGCAAAGTACTGGTCAGACTCAACCTCAAGAGCAGCAAAGAACTCCCATGGGGAGTTTCGGACAGCAGCAACAAGGTGGAGCAAATTTTCAACCGGGTCATCGTGTCCGTAGTTCTGTGAACCAATCGGTTGGAGCACTCGGTTCCTTCCAATATGCGGGTCAACCGCAACTCATCCAGCTTCCCCAAGGACAAGTTGTTATGGCACCTCCGCAAATGTTTGCTGGTCAGCACTTGAATCCTCTTCAGATTGCTCAACTTCAGGCCCTTCAAAGTAGTCAGCTGAATGGTCAAAATCTAGGTTTACAAGCAGTTACTCAACACCCTGCTCCCCAGTTATCTGCTCAACAACAACAGCAACAGCAACAGCGTAAAACGCTATTTACCCCCTACCTTCCCCAGGCATCACTGCCTGCCTTACTCAATGATGGTCAACTCGTGGCCGGTATTTTGAGGGTCAACAAGAAGAATAGGTCTGACGCCTATGTTACTACTCCAGATCTTGATGCAGATATCTTTATTTGCGGAAGCAAGGATAGAAACCGTGCCCTAGAAGGTGATCTGGTTGCCGTTGAACTGCTTGATGTTGATGAAGTTTGGAGTCAGAAGCGAGAAAAGGAGGAAAAGAAAAAGCGCAAGGATATTACCGACACTAGAAGTGGCAGCACTACCGGGATGGATAAGACTTCTCGTTCTGACTCCGTCACTAATGGTGATGCCGGACAAGTTGGCCCCGATGGAAGCATCAGACGCAGAGGAAGTCTCCGCCAACGTCCTACTCAAAAGAAAAACGACGACGTAGAAGTTGAAGGACAGAGTCTGCTTCTTGTGGAGGAAGATGAAATTAGTGATGAACAGAAGCCACTTTATGCTGGCCATGTTGTTGCTGTCATCGAGCGTGTGGCTGGCCAAATGTTTTCCGGTTCTTTGGGTGTTCTGCGGCCCAGTAGCCAAGCCACTAAGGAGAAACAGGAAGCAGAGCGACAGGCCAGAGATGGTAGCCATTCTCGTCACCACCATGATCGCCAGCAGGAGAAGCCGAAGATTGTGTGGTTCAAACCTACTGATAAACGCGTTCCTCTGATCGCAATTCCTACTGAACAAGCTCCCCGCGACTTCGTTGAAAAGCACGCCGATTATGCCAACAATATTTTTGTCGCATGTATTAAGAGATGGCCCATCACATCGCTTCATCCATTTGGAACCCTCGTTGAACAGCTTGGTGCCATGGGTAACTTGAAGGTTGAGACAGACGCACTTCTCAGAGACAATAATTTTGCATCCGACGAATTTTCTGATGCGGTATTAAAAAACGTTGGCTTTGAAAACTGGTCCGTTGAGGACGAAGGAGAAGCCTTGCTATCTAGCAGGCGGGACTTCCGTTATGAAACAACTTTCACTATTGACCCCAACGGCACCAAGGAATTGGATGACGCCATTCACGTCAAAACACTCTCTGACGGAAAGGTGGAAATTGGTATCCATGTGGCAGATGTCGCTCATTTCATCAAGGGCAACTCGCTCGTTGATAGGGAAGCAAAGAAACGAGGCACCGGTGTATACCTTATGAATCGTGTGGTTAACATGCTCCCGCCTCGCCTGTCGACTGAAATATGTTCCCTTTTGCCTGGCGAGGAGAGATTAACCGTCAGCGTCGTTTTCCAAGTGAACCCTGCTACCGGTATCGTGGAAGGAGAACCGTGGATAGGAAAAGCTGTCATTAAAAGTTCCGGAAAGCTTACTTACGATGAGGTGGACGCTGTTCTCGGTGGAAATTCCGATATTCAACTTCACGGCGTGACAGTAGATGACATCAAAACTTTGAATGTGAGTGTTTAACAACGATTTCGACTACAGGTTCCATATTTTCCATATATGAAAGGGAAACATGAGATGCTAACCAAGCTGTTGACTAGGATATTGCCAGCAAATTCAAAGAAGCGAGATTTGGGAATCGATCCACCAGGATACCGTCCCTGCGACTCCTGTATCAGCTTGATGATGAAAACGTTCCGGTAGAACACAACATCTTTGACACCACACCAGCACATGAACTCATTGAGGAATTAAGCCACAAGGCGAATACCTTCGTAGCTGAAAAACTTGTCTCCGCTCTTCCGGAGAAAGCGTTGCTTCGCCGCCAGGCACCACCCAATTTCCGACGTCTACAGACCTTTGTTGACCGGATGACTAGGTTGGGCTACGATATAGATTCTACCAGCAGTGGCACACTGCAGACCAGTTTGTTCAAAATTGGGGATGTTGAGATTCGCAAGGTCTGTTGTCACGACTCGAGGTTTTTTTTTTTTTTTTTGTGTTGCTGACAATGTTTCTGTTTCATTTATAGGGTATGGAAACACTTCTTCTCAAGGCTATGCAGCGTGCAAAGTATTACGTTGCTGGAAGTGTTACAGATGAGCAGCGGCAGCACTATGTCCTCAATTTGCCATTATACACTCACTTCACCAGTCCATCAAGACGGTATGCCGATATTGTTGTGCACAGACAACTTGAGGCTGTTCTCTCCAATGGTGAATTTACTGAAGACATCGAAAATCTCACCAAAACCGCTGAGCAATGCAACAATAAGAAAGATTCCGCCCAAAATGCTCAGGAGCAAAGTGTCCATATTGAATCATGCCGCATCATGGACAAGAAGCGACAGGAGATCGGAGGTGACCTGATCAGCGAGGGCATTGTCCTCTGTGTTTACGAATCCGCATTTGATGTTCTCATCCCAGAATATGGCTTCGAGAAACGCGTCCACTGTGATCAGTTGCCGTTGAAGAAGGCTGAGTTCCGTAAGGAACAGCGTGTTTTGGAGTTATACTGGGAGAAAGGTGTCCCATCATCTGCCTACATTCCAGAGGATGAGCGCCCCAAAGCTGCTCAGAGTACACGTGCTGCTAACGCTGCTGCTGTCGCTCGTGAGGCTGAGGCTGCCAGGGAGCGGGCTCGCGAACGGGAAGAGGTTCAACGGAAACAGACAGACACCGGCACCATCTCAACTGATGACGTTGACGCACTCTTTGATGATGAGGATGAGGATGACGATATCTCCGAGGTTACGGAGATGGCAGCGGGCGTCTCTCTTAATTCTCCTGTGGATCGTCCCACTCAAAGTATGCCCCCATCCCCCACACGCAACGGCCAACCCCAGCAGACTCCCCACCGCACCCGTTCAGACCCGAAGATCGCATCTAGTACAGTTGAGGCTACTGAAACCAAACTGTCGAATAAGGAGAAGTATCTCAAGCTTTTCAAGCTGCGAGAAGAGGACGGTGAATATATCCAGGACGTCACGGAAATGACCAGGGTCCCAATCATTTTGAAGACAGACCTGAGCAAGAGTCCTCCGTAAGTTGTCACAGATTCATGAACTCGTAGATTATTTATTATAATGACTAATCTGAATATTTAGGTGTCTCACTATTCGTTCGGTTAACCCCTACGCTCTTTAGTTTGAACAAAATTATGTCACTATATCTGCAGCTGCTTCAAGTCTGGTCAAGGCCACTCTATACTCCAGTTGTTTGGGCCGTCTTTTGTCACGTGTGTTCAAAAAATCGAAATATCTCACATTTGTTAAGTGGCATTATTTTCAACGCATTCCTCTCTCTATAGCAAAGCGTCCATTTATATCTTCGTTGAAGCGTTGTTTTTTTACTCGAAAAAAGTCATTCCTGTCAATTAGTCATAGTTCGACTTGTTTTCTCCGGCAAGACATCTTTGGGTTTATCGTATATCGTCATACATTTTTTCAACCAGAACGTCTATCGTTAGACAATACAGGAAGCTCGCGTTTCCCTTGCCCCCGTTTACCTTGCTGTCCATTTCCAGTCTTGTCTCTGAGATTTGTCAGATATTTTATCGTTAGACAAGCTCAGGCCGTATCAGGAACCTTAAAAAACGGAAAGAAGACGGTTGACAGTAAAATATATTTTAGCTTGAAAGGATTGAAGTGGGTTTTCGAGTTGTTGTATTTGTTTAATGGTTCTTTTGATGGAGAATATCGGCGCTGTCAGTTTGCCAGATCAGGAGAGAAAGAAGAATGATGTGAGAGAGTGTAAGGTTGCTGTGAGGAAAAAGAAATCTTTATTTTCATTATGTCTTTACATTCTTTTAGTTTAGCTTTTATTTCGTCTCAGAAACTAGCATACCTTTTTAATTATTTTTATGTTATATATATATATTCATTTAAATATAAATAAATAAAATATTGATATGTTAAAATAGATTTTTTCACGCTGCGGTTTTGGCGGGGAGAGGGGTGCCACATAAAGTCATCACCCCATGGTGTCGGCCGCGTTGTGACCCAATCTGGACACTTTGAAGATGCGGTTTTTTAGGTATATTTGACAGTTACAATGTTGATTATTGAGTTGCGTTAAAAATCAATATGTTACGACACTACTGTTAGCCAATAATTACATGTCCCGATTCATTCAAGATTAAGCAACTTTCCGATCTTTTATTCTTCTCTCCTTCAGAATCCGGCGGGCCCTGTCGGATCAACTGCCACGTCCTCCCGGACCAACATCTCCAGCAGTTCGGGAACCAAGGCCTTCTGGGCATACACAATGGTATCGTACTTCGAAAAATGGCTATCGATCCCGGCCAGTGAGTCGATGGCATCTTTAAGTGAGACACGACATGCTCTGAGCCTGGGGGGAAAGGTCAACAGAGAGCCCGGCAGATAAAAAAAAAAATAATAAAAATAATACACCAATAATGCAGTCATTCCTTTAATTCAATTTGCATCTTCAGTCGTGTCTTAATCACAATCGCCTCAGCCCAATCCTCGGCTTCGCTTTCGCAGTCGATGACGAAACCCTCCGCGTTGCTGTGTTGTTATTATTACCGTAAGCACCACCCGTAGACATGGACATGTTAGGTGCCGGTGATCTAATCTTATTCTGTGGAGAGGTGTTGGATAGGTTGCTGCTTTCAATAGATGTTAACGACGGTATAGATGACGACGGCGGGAGGGTTTGCCTTTGTATTGGCAAATGCTGCGATTTATCCGGCACAGGTGGATCTGCAATTACAGCCGTAGCGGTAGCCGAGTCGGTAGTCGTAGTGATGGATGGAGGCAAGATGGAAGAGGAACCCTCATTTTCTTTTCCGCCGTCACTGCGTTTCTCATTTGAAATTGTTGATGCAGGTGCTGCTGCTGCTGGCGCGCCAAAGATGGAGTTCTGGCGCGAGCCACGCCTAGCATCCAGGCTGCTATGGAAATCGTTGCTATTACCACCGTCCCGCACTCGACCAGATGTATTGACGCCTCTGCCTAACTCTGATAGTTTGGGAGACTTCCTTTGCTGCTGCTGCTGCTGTGGCTCTTGTGGATGTTGAATCTGTCGCCGCTCCAATGCTGATGCGTTTGCAGCGATGTTCCTCTGCGATGAGGTCATGCAATCATTATCAGCAGCATCGTCGTCGTCATTTGCAACGTAATTGACCAGTACAAGCTCGGGTTCGCTAGGACTCGAGAGGACGGAGAGCGGACGTTTCCCGAGAACACTCTTTCGAGGACTGGGAGGCGTTACGCTTGCGGGAGGATGTGAAAGCGACGGGTCATTTTCCTTGGATGAGCTGTCTGTATCCTCGTCGTCTGAGCCATCGTCGTTCACTGGTTGGTCTCGCGACGACGAGCGCATAGAAAATGACGATAACGATGATGGCAACGGTGATACATTCTGGGATGTCGTTTTAATTCTGATATCTAGCTTCCCTATCTCTTGGCTTTGCGGTTTCTTATGTACGGCAAGCTTTTTCATAATAACCGCTGACGAGGTGGTAGCGACGGCTTTTCGCGAGCTGACTGTTACTGGGAGATCTTCGTCTTCCACGATGACGGTCCCACTATCATCTCCCCTTCTCTTAGCCTCCATGACGGCATCCTTCATGTCCTTGGGAATTGGTGCGTGGATGGAAGTCATGAGCTTTGCCTGACGCGCAAAAGATTCATAATCATCCTGCAAGAGGCTGCCAGCCGCAGAGTTCAATGCGGAGTCTGGATTAGGATGTATCAGGAGGCATGATATCGTCTTTACCAGGAAAAACATGTTAGTTTATCTAGAAAACGACAGGAGCAGCATAAAGCTGGGACGTTATCTTTTAAAAAAACAATATAATATATTGGAACCTACAATCAAGATATCCCTCAATGTTAACTTCGCCTCCCAATCTCTTTTTAGAGTATCTACACAGACTGCCCCCGTCGATTCGTCAACATTTGGATGCCATATGCGCGTTTTAAAGGCTGCCTTAGGTGGACTCTTAGGGTAATCTTCTGGCATGCGCAAATGCAGTTGCCAGAGACCCTGCGAGTATGGAGTCCCCTGAGGGCCCGTGAGTAGGATGGCAAGTTGGGTGAGATCATCTGGGAATGACGAGAAGGAGTTTGAAGGAGGGAAGAGATAGTTGGGTGGCAGTCCGTCCATGTGTAGGGAGGCATGGTCAGACGCGAGCCGTCGCATACTGAGAGCCTATGGATATGTTACTTCATTGTATGTACAATGGGCTTTTGACGTGGGGGCAAAGCTGGAAGCTAATACAGCAAGTAAAACTGGGAGTAACAATGGGCTGATTAAGAGCTTACCATGCTGAATGTGGTAACTATGTCCTGTATATATGGTTTTTTTTTAAAGCCGAGATTGTTGCCCCGAGTTACGTGCTTCAGATACAGTGTTCAAATGTGGTATGTAAGAAGGGGAGTGCGGAACACGGGATAGAATTGAGAAACCAAAATTATATACAAACAAAATTCCCAAAAAGAACAACAAGAACACCCTAGTGTATTCTCGTTGTCCGAGTGCTTTGATATTTCTGATCATGGCTAGAGGTTCTACGATTGCACGGGGAGGTTTTATTTTCGGTTGCGGGTCCTCTGACGTGTTGCGATGAAAGAGGGAAAGTGATGCCACGCTAACCAGATACGGAATGGCGCATATAAACAACGCGTGATTTTCCAGGCCCTAAGTGGGACTTGCGCGACACATTAAGAGAGAAAGGGGCAAAAAGGGGCAAAAGGGGTAAGGCGACTGGACGGGAAGGGAATTGAATACAGGGCGGATGTTGCATTGCCCAATTGGGTAGTCAACCAGTGCTTGCGAAGTATATGCAGGATCAGACAGGTTGAGAATGTGAAAACGCACACTGCAAACTATCGGGAAGACAACTGACTCTCTTTATGCCTGAAGGATGAAGTTAATTGGTAAGAAGTCGTAACATATTGATTGGTTATTAGAGGGGCATGAGTATACTAATAATAACAAGTCTATCCGAAAAGGAAAAGATCGAATTGAGAGAAATCAGATCCAAGGAAATAATATCTCCCCACTCAAGAGAACGCCAGGTGGAAACCAGAATGTGATTAAAGAGTAAAAGTAACACTGTATATGGTAAGGGCAGTTGTACATGAGTTTTGTTTCCTGTCAAGGTTAAAGGAATCGGATTGCAACGATTCCTTGGGCCATGATGCCTTTCCAAGCGTTTGCTATACAGATAAAGGTGGAAATAAAAAAAAATAAGCGATTTTCACCAAATAAACCAGCACCAATTAAGATATGGGTTAAATGGTCAACCAAGAAGATAAAGAACTGATTGCATATCTCATCAATAGCTAATCCATTTACAGGAAAGCAGCGAAGAGAGCAGCAGCGAGGCCTAGGCCGACGGGAACGCCAGCAGAGAAAGCGCCAGAGTCACCAGGGGGATAAGTGGGGACGGGAGTGCCAGTTGGGTAGACACCAGTGCCAGTGGGATAGACAACTGGTGGCTTGGTGCCGATAGGATAGGTGGGAGGAACACTTCCGGGAGGGATGGGAGTGGCACTGTAGGTTGGTTTGGGGTGGTCAACTGGGTAGCTCGACGGGGTGTGAACTGGGTACGAGGGTTCCGCAGATGGGGTCCCGGTTGGGTAATGAGGAACGTCTGAGGGAGTGCCAGTTGGGTAGCTTGGGATAGTCTCCTCTGGGTAGCTTGGGGCGGCAGTTGGGTAGGAGGATGGCTCAGGCTCAGTTGGGTAAGATGGCTCAGGCTCAGTTGGGTAAGATGGCTCGGGCTCAGTTGGGTAAGTTGGCTCAGGTTCAGTTGGGTAAGATGGCTCGGCTGGGTAAGTTGGCTCGGGCTCGGTTGGGTAAGACGGCTCGGCTGGGTAAGTTGGCTCGGGCTCAGTTGGGTAAGATGGCTCGGCTGGGTAACTTGGCTCAGCTGGGTAGGTTGGAGCAACCGAGGTGGTGGGAGCTGGGTATGGGGGTGGCTGTTCACCGTAATTGCCAGGCTGGAGAGCATCATTAGCATTTCTCTGTTTCTCACAATATTCATATTCATCCTTTCCCCAAGAGGTTACGAGTTACTCACAACAGAGGCACTGACGGACACGGCAAGAGCCGAGACAGCAACGGCGATGGCTGAGATATGCATTGTGAATTGTGGAATTAAGTTGGTTTTCTTGTGAAACGATTGGTTATGTTCAAACGATTGATAAGCGGCGTCCAAACGAGAGGCAGAAGAAAGATTTCTTCGAAGACAAATTCGCACGTATTAAATATATGTAGCAGTGGGTTTCGAGAGGAAGAATAAAAGAAAGGTTTTGAAAGAGGTACGGGAGACTCGCAACAAATATATAGGGTCTGCCGGGTGGGCACCTAGCCTAGCGGCTTGCCCCCTGTGTTATCTTTGTGAGAATTGTATCTCGTTCTGGTGTCCACCCCCTGCCGCCCAGCATCCCAGCATCCCAGCATCCAAAAACAAAGGCTGGCCAACCTCGAAAATAGGAGGAAAAAGCGGGTCTCGATCCACCCCGGGCCGGTTCCATTTTGGAAATTGCCTGACAGAGTGGGCGTAAATTATGTGTATAGTCACCCGTATATCTCCTTGGTTCCCAGCCCCAGCGCCTTTTTCCCACTATCACCGTACATGTATGTACAAGTCCATATTATTGCTGGAGGAGGGTTACGCTGTGGCTGGCACCGTCGCAAGGGGTGTGCAGATCTAAGCGCATGATGACATATTTCCTCGAATCATACTCGACCGCCGTTCAACTAAACCTGCTCATAGCATTTGAGCTAGCGAAACATTGCCTCTCGCCCTGTCTTTTTTCGTTTGTCTTACCAGCCAGCAGGAGTATCCTGTTGATTGGCGTGCTTTGTGCTGGCAATGACGAGTCTTTTTTCCCTTTCTTCCCTTTCTTCCCTTTCTTCCCTTTCTTCCCTTTTTTTCCTTTTTTTTAAAATTTTTTTTTTGAAATTTTTCTTCCGACTTCTTCTCCTGCTTAAACACCATAAGTTGTCGAAAAATGCTGGTCTCCAGGGTTTTCATGTAACATCAGACAGCAAATTCCCCATAAAAGGAGGTTGGTCCCTGAGTTATCTCCAGCCCACGGGTTTTGTCAAACCGTAATAATTATCCCATTATTTTTTCCATCCTTCCTTTCCCAACCTCTCTGACCCGTTCCATCCTCTGGGAAGCCGGTGGACGTCCACAGTCCTTGGGAAGTCTCAGACTCCAGCACACTAGCTGCAGCGCTAGGGATCGTCTAGAGGCAAATTAGGAGGAGATTTAAGCGATTTACCGTGGCATGCTTTCAATCCACACAACCTGCCGAGCCGAAACAGCTCTCCATGACTTGGCGGGTGAACAAGGCGGTTCCAAAATGGGGCACGGAATGAAGGCCCGGATGTGTCTCCCAGGGCGACGGTTTTGATACCTGAGCCTAGATGACTGGACAGCTCTGCGGTGGTTGGTCGCTGGCGGTGGCTGAAAAGCCTCTTTAATCTCAGATGTGCTTTTTTTTTTTTTTTTTTTTTTTTTTTTTTTGAACCGCTGGACGAATATATATTAGTTATTAGTTATTTTCATGCACAAGTTACATAAACTGCCAAGCTGGTGGAGCTGGGCGCTGGCGTATGTCAGTGGACCAAAGTGCCAGTTATTTTGAGATGCTACGTAACTTTTTTCTCCACCAAAGATATGAGCCGCCGAGACCAATGTGTGTGTATAACTTGGAACCCAGATTTGAATAACTTTATCTTTGAAAACTCGTGATAATTCATGTAAAATGCAAGGTTTAAAATAATTAAATTATATATTATAAAATAATACAACTGATGTATTAAATAATAGTAATTGATTAAGTTATTTATTTTTATTATTATCATGAATTTATAAATTCAATTGATAATAAATTCAATGAATAATAAATTCAACTAATGATGTAAAATATTAATTATATTATTATATTTATATAAATAGTTAAAATATCATAAACCATGTTTTACATTTACATATAAAATACAAATTTTAATAAAAAAATGAAATATAAAAAATGAAATTATATATTATATAATACTAAGCAGGATCCAGAGGGTCACATTTTATGCAGAACAAGTCTCTCAGTCATCACACAAACTAACAGATCTGGTGAACACACAAACACAGTGCCTGACTTGCTAATTTTGTCACATTGAGAACTTGACTTAACTTCCAGTCAGAAAGGTTCTAACGACATTAAGAAGTGTTGCAGTCTATTTTGTAATCAGCCGAGTCAGTAGTCACTCGATACAAGAGCCCTGGAGCTGGAGTACATCTTTTTTTTAGCCCAACAGAGAGGGAGAAACAACAGGAAATTGTAGTTCCATCAACAAAAGACAGGCAGAATAAAATGATCGTGCAATTCTTGGTTGTTGTTCCTGCATTGCCGCTGAGACAAGAGTCTCATTCTTCTGTTGCCTGCTGTCCTTTTTCGATTTTACCGCCGGACACAAAACAATAATACGGCGGTGTTCCCTGGCGCAGTGACTGTTACAGTATGTTACGCCCACGCGCTCCACCAAAATCCATCCAGGAACACACCAATCAGTTAGCGGTTTTCCATGCAGGAAAAATTGGTTCTCAACGAGTCATTCCCGCAAAACCCAGAGCTCGGAGTGACAATCACATTCCTCTCCATCAATCACCCTTTCACTTTCTTTGAATCCCAACTGCGGGAAATCCAGCCACGATTCGCTTTTGGAGGCCTAGTCAACCGTTTATTATTTTGCCAAATTTTGCGGAGTCAAAAAAAAAAAAAAAAAATTACGTAAATGGAAAAAATGCGTTCACTTTTGGACTCGGGATCAGAATGTATTTAAAATAGTTGAACGGGCCCACAGCTGTTATCAGTTCTCCAACATGAACAAACCCCCCCCCCCATTTTGAGCACTTCCCATTATTTATTATTACGAACAGTATGGGCTGTACCGGATCTGAGACATGAAAATTATTATTATTCCCACGCGGACAGTTAAATTAAGGCATGAGTTTCGCTGCCCAATCAAGCCTGATTGAGAAAATTGTTCACGGCCAAAAGGCCCGGTTTGAGTTTAGCGGCGCAAGGTCTCAGAACGCTCGGATCGTGGCATGGATGGTGGCAGAACAGGGCAGAAGAACGAACAGGAAGAGAGAAACGGAGATGGGGGGGGGGCGCCGAGAGGATTCATCCCATTACCAGGTCTGTAGACGAAGGTTTCTGGAAGTTCCCAAGCAGAAGATTCTAGGAACCCTCGATATCACTATCCCACATGCAGCGTTTTCCCTCCCCTAGATCCAGTATTGGCACAGCCTTTGGAACCTTCCTCAGTCGGCAGTATTTAAGCCATTTGAGCCCTTGGGAAGCGTCTTTGTATTTTGTTTTTGAAGCTAAATATGGGTTCCAAAGAAGCAAGCAAACCGTTGGAGTGATATCTCCTTGTGGTCACGTGTTTCCCTCCTCGTCATACATCCCCGTGCAATTCTGCAGGGATATATCACTTGGATGGAAGAAAATCCATGCCCGAAACTTGTGCAATCAGAGAACGTAAACCTATATAACCTGGCCTTGATGAGATTTTCTTTGTTGTTGATGCGTAATAATTGTTCAAGTGGGGAATTCAATAGTAGAAATTCCAAAAAAAAATAATAAATAAAAAAGGGGTTCCTGTCTCTCAAGATCAATCGTTTGGTATATAAAAGTTAAAAAGATCTTCCTGCGCTTCCTCAGATAAATGATATCATAAGAAAAATGGGGGGTCCAATCCTCATAAATGCTCACAGTTCCCACAGCGGCTCCTCATCGATCTGTGTAAACAACTCCCAGGCTTACTGCTCGCGGTGAATCAAACGCTTCTTACCTAGACAGACTCCTCTCTCTCTCTCACGCCCACATGACTGCTCTTATATGCCCCGAGAGTCAAACCCGGTCGGAACCACCTTGAAAATTTACTCTCGTAACAATTGATGCAACGACACTACCAAAACCCATGCCAACGAAGTCACACCCCCGCCCAAAGTTCTGACACATAGCTGTCAAAAACTTGGCAGCGGGTTCAACAGTTACATTGTCTATCATCGTCATCTGTTTTCCGCGCAGTCTGCGCTGCTTGTCTCAGGAAATATTCCAGCCTAGAATCGACCTTGCAAATCCGCGGTCTCGCTCGGAGACATTCTAGCCACAACGTTCATCATAGCCAGCCCTGTTCTTGTGAACAAGGGGGTTATAAACTTCAGGTACGATTTGGGTTTCAAATAGGTCGAGTCTGGTTCAAGCAGGTTGCATGGCTATACGTATTGATCCAGGCTGTCTGGGTTTTGGAAATATATGTTGTTTGAAGGGAGAGGTGATAAAAAATGCTGTTATCTATGACGCTGAGGAAGGGTCCAAGTGTGAAGCTTTGTGCAGAGTTTGCGGCTTGCCGGATATTCCGGATAGGGGATACACCGTGCTGGATTCGGTGTTAGGGATCCAGACCATCATCTTGTTGGTCAGCGATAGAGATCTGAGAAGAACAGAAGCATTGATAGACCTGGTGATTGACGGTTCTATTGGAGCGACAAGTTGCCCGATACCAAGACAGAGGACGCCTAAAAAGGAAGAAGGTAGGTTTACCTGCCAGGCTCGAGTGAGTTCTGGGACGGTAGGCTTGTATTCAAGAAGTTGACGTTATTATTAGAACTTGATATGGAAAGTTATTTCTTATGTATACAGGTAACAGGTAAATTCCAGTTCCAATTGTGAACGTAGAGACCGTCAGCTTGGAGGAGAGTTGGGATCAGGAGCTCCATTGAGCTTGAAATAGCCCGGTTGCAAACGTTGGAAAACACGGGAAGGGTCGTACCTCCGTGCCACGTCCAGCAAACGATTGTGGTTTACGGCACCATACGACTCAACCACCGCCTGGAACTGGCTGGCGTAGTTCATGTATATGTATTTGTTCAACTTGCCGCTGGACTGGGCTTCAGTCTTGATCGTGTTGATAATATCTGAAACAGCTTTGAGGACAGCCTTATCGTCGGCCTTGTTAGCCCACATGACGTTCACCAACACGAGAAGAAAAGGTCCCTCCGATGGTTCAAGACCAAGCGCATTCCCCCCGTTCTTGGCCATTTTTTGAATCATGTCGGACGTGAAGATCTGCAAAGTGAGTGCAGGAAGGATGCCCGCAACATTTTTGATGGGGTCGACGCCAGTCATGAACGAATCCACAACAAAGGTGAGCATCTCTATGTCAAGTTTGACGGTGAGAGTCCAGAAGTTCTCACGCAGACCGTTAGGGTTACTTTGCCTAAATTCTTCGGTAAGTTCAGGAAGAGTCTTGATGGCCAAATTATTCGATAGTTCCGGGATCTCTCTAAATGAGTTGAAAATTGGTGGATTCTCCACTGGTTCTGTGTATCCCAGGTTGATAGCCGCAGCAAATATGCCCTGAGTAAATGCAAAGTTGCAGATAAAAGCAGCCTTGCGATCGGAGGGCCATTCGTTTCCAAATTGAATCACAGCATTGAGAATGGAGCTTTTGACGTTGCCGTTTAAGAGGTATATACGCGAGCCTGCCCACAGGTTCCCAGCAGGATAGGCTTCTAAGTCGAATTTTGTCACGATGCCAAAGTTGTTGCCGCCTCCCCGAAGAGCCCAGTAAAGATCTGGATGGCTTTGGTGGCTTACGTTCAGTATGCGACCGTCGGCAACGACAACCTAATCAACATTAGGATCAATTCGAACTGCAAGTTCCTACCATAAAGGAAGTAAAATTGAGACACGGAAAAAGTAAACTGCATTTTCTGACCTCGTAACTATTGACATTATCACAAGCGAAACCGTACTGCGCGGAGTATAATGATATGCCCCCTAGGAAGAACGTTATCAGCATTTACGAATCGTCAAAGTTGACCCAAAGATCTCTTAGGCGCCGTAGTTGAGTCCAACAAGATTTATTTACCTCCAAGCGTCAGGCCCCCAACACCGATATTGGACACACGACCACCAACAACGGTCACGCCTTCCGGCGAAAGTTGGCTATAAACGTCAAACCAACGGCTTCCAGCACCAACTATCGCGGATTTTTTATCCGAGCTCAGATTGACAGTGTTGAGTCGCTCCATATCGATAGTTAACCCATCTGGGATGCTCGACGAGCCAGCAAAGGCAGCATGACCCCCACTTTTCACTGCAAATGGACAGTGCACCAGGCACGATGTCAGCAGGGCGATGGCGACCTGAGCACTTGACAATGGCTGGAATATACAGGCCGGGTGGACCTCAGACTGTTGCTGCGACCAGAACTGGCTGCGCCATTCCGTGTACGGCGCCGTGCCTCGGGAGAGAACTTGTTGAGGGAAAAGTGCAGAAACCACTCGACACTTGAGATTTTTTATATGTTTTTAGCAATCTTGTAGCCATCGGAGTTTAGAGTTGTTAGGTACACGTATATAGGTACGTACTGCAACTGTTGCCGGATTTATGGAATTTCTTTTTGTTAAATGCGGAAGCTCTGATGGGTCGACATGCTCCAAGATATCTACTCCATATCTAGTCAATGTATCAACAATATCCTGTTCTTCGGAAGAGAGTTCTCCAGTAGCAGACGCGGAATCGCCGAAGGTCATTGCCATAAAGCTGCAACATGCAATTAGAAAATGTGGAAGAAACTTCATGGTAGCTGGGTTTCGCTGCGGGTTCAGATGATATTTTTGGCAAGCTCAACACAAGCATAGAACTCGAAGTATGGATAAAATGAGGTGTGGAAAGCTTCTTGAAATCCTGGTTTGCCTGGAGGGGAATTAATTTTGTGAGATGAGTATTGTGACAAGACCAAAAGGCTGGGATCGATGTGATACAATCCCTGCTCGAAGTTACCTGCTTACGGGTTCCTGGGGCCTTTTCTCCTCAAGGAATCAGGTTTACGTATTTTGTCCGAAGGGAATCGCAGGACTCATCAAGAAGTCCCGCCATCTTTACCCGGCATAAGCCAGGTAGTGTTCCGTTTTTTGGCTTCGCTTAGTCTGGTACTGGCGGCTTACGGCTTTGACAGAATGTTCCACTAAATTATTTAGCGTTCTCGCGGCAGGCAAATCTTCTCATCTGCCCCACAGAGAAGCCACGGGGAAGTTTTGTACTTCCATGTATTAGGGACATGTCATTGTGCTTTGTAGCGTTTCACAAATCGTCAAACTCGGTTAAACAAGGGAATGACTAGGTTGCCAATCTTTTGATGACCTAGTAGGAGGTAAACCGCGATGTGTACCATAGGGGGTGGATTAAAACCTTTGAGGTCTCTTCGGGTCTTCTGCAGAAAAAGGTGAGTTGAAAGTTCTAACGGGCCGCTTCGAATTTCGATCGTTGACAACACGGCAACATGGTACTTCGTATTGAGCACCGAGATAAGCTAAGTTGCGTAGAAAGTATCACCTTTGTCGTGCTGACACGGAGGTAACGATATTTGTCCATTGCTTTTTGCCAAGTGGTAGGAGATTCATCCAACAATGATATATGTCTGCGAAAGAAGCAAAAAACGTAAAGGAATGCAAGCCACGGAGATTGTTGATGCAGAGCTTGTTCATGCCACGGGATATTAGACCCAAACTCAGATATAACTATTGATTGTTATGGATTTCGTATCATATTTGAAGAGCTTAAGAGCGCTGTGTCCGGATTTTCGATGCTCACAAACCAACCCATTCTTTCCAGGCCGGGTTTTAGATATCAGAATCGCCTTTTTTTCCTTTTTTTTTTTTTTTAAAAAAAAAAAAAAAAAGAGGTTCAAACGTGTTGCTTTCACGACATCATCAACATGGGAATCTCAGAGCACTATGTTACCGAATGGCATGTGGTATCGACTGGGTATGTAATGATAGGTTTCGCCAGCACAGTGTTCCTGGGACGCTTTGGTCTGCGCCTTTGGAAATCAGCAGGAGTGCAATGGGAAGACTTCTTCGTCGTCTTCTCATGGCTTTCCTTCGTAACGATGGCTGCCCTCTACATCGTCGCCATTCCAGCGGTGTATAGGTTGACTGCTGTCATGGATGGCGCGGCTCCTCCATATGCCGCCATGGAACAGGAGGCACTTTTTCTCAAAAAAGTATTTTTCTCAACGACCATGTTACTTTGGTTGTCGCTGTGGTCGGTAAAGTTGAGTCTGCTGGTTTTGTATCGGCGATTGTTGGCCCTCCTGAGTACTGAACTTCGTCTGTGGTTGGGGATTCTCATATTCACGATTTTAGTGAGAACATTTCTCTCCCTTTCGCTGTCGATGTGTCAATTTCTGTGATATTTGCTCATATGTGTGTGATATATATAGAGCTTCATTGGTTGCATTATCTCCAATTTTACGTCCTGTGGGACATTATCAGCATGGTTCAGCATGAGTGAGTAACATAAGTCCCAGTTAAAGATGCCTGCGTGTCACGCTTACCAAATTTTCTTGGAACAAAGCCGGATGCACGAGGCCTAGAGATATTAAGGCGCAAATTGCCAGTTTGTATTTTTCGTATGCGGTTGATGTGCTTACGGACCTTATGAGTAAGTTACGGGGGTTCCACTCGATGCTAGCGATGAACGGATAGAATAATAGTTGCTCACACAATCCATTTCTAGTCATGGCCTTGCCCTCGAAACTGCTGTGGTCGCTGCGATTGCCGCTTGCCCAGAAATTAAGTGTTGCAAGTATTTTCAGCATTGGTTTCATTTGCATTATTGTTGCCACTGTGCGAGTAGTCCAGATTGGATCAAAAGCGAAAAACAGCAGCACGCCAAGCAGCTCATGGCTAGCTTTCTGGGGAATCATCGAAACTGGGATAGGTAAGTAATTTAAGCTTCCTCCAATTCATCTATTTTAAGCTAATGGTCCGCCTGTTTCCTTCTTCAGCTGTCATTATCGGGTGTCTTCCTGCACTCGCTATCATATATCGCAAAGAACGATCCGCCAGACGGACATCCTTTAAGGGATACTCGTCGATGGAAGGGAATTCGCACAAGGACACCATACCGCTATCAAACGCGCCAAGCGGGACAAACGGAAATTGGGTGCATAACGATGTCTCTGCTTCCACACCTCCCCCAACCGCTTCAAAGCTTAATGGGATCGCTGTAACCCAAAGCGTTGCTGTAAGTGATGCCTCTCGCACATTAATCCGACTGCAGACCATTTTGGCAATACTGACCGAAGCATTCAACATTTACAGATGGACGAGGAGTATAACCCCCGTCGTCCTGGTAGATAGATTCCCGAGCCATTGTAGGTCCTCCTGCAATCGTAACTATAATTACAATAACAAGCTAAGCGGATATGGAAGCAGATAGCTAGGAATACCCTCGCAAAACCATTTCGAGGGGTGTCATGTTATGCCAGGTCGGCATTTGCCAGACGTCAAATCGCAGGGGCGAAGGCCATTGAACTTAGGGTTTGGAAAAGAGCATTAAATGCAGAGGAAGACTCGCTTGTGATTGGAAGAATTTGTAATGGACCTGCCCAATGGACAAAATTAGACCAGATTTCTCGGTATTCGTCCTCGTTGCTCAACCCACCATTTTTATTTGATCTTGAGGTGCGATGCGTCATTTTACTTGCAGTAATTACAGGCAAAATATATGTAAAATTCCCCAAAAGACACCCAAAAAATCACGATTGCGTGTCAACCGTACCGTTTTCCCGTAGCCAATTTGCAAACTCCTCTCGTTTGGTCTGTGGTAATAGGATAGTCAGCAAGTCTGTTGTCCCCTTCAAATATTTTCCAAAGCCACATATTTCTTAAGACTCCAATCTTTTCCGGTCCCAGTCTAGTCTACGTACAAATCATGCCCAACAATGTCCAGAAAGCAACCAAGAAGCAACTGCCCCCGTAGGCTGAATCAGATAAATAATAGGAGACATAAGTAAAAATAAAGACGAACTCTAACATCCCAAAACCCAACTCGGTCCTCGAATCCGCGATAAGGATTTCGCGCTCCGCCTTCCTTCTCGATCTGACCTGCCCAAACACTCCAACTGATGGGCCGTGGCTTCTCGGATCCCAGTACTAGGCCAACCGTGACGAAGAGGATGGCAACGAGGGTTTCGAATGTGATATCGAGGGGTATGGAATGGGCGCTGCCGTATAATATTGAGTGTTCGTGCGCGGAGTAGCCGCTGTAGATTTGTTTTTGCGCGATATGTTAGCAAGAGAACTTTGGCTCAACAGAAATGAAAAGGGAGGAAGGCGAGAAATCGAGAGGAATTGGATAGAAAAGGGTTTTAGTTGCTTACGCGTGGGCGATGAGGATAAGTCCAAACGTTGTGGATAGGCGGGAGCCGAAGCCCATGATTGTGTTTGGACGGAGTTGTTGACGGATTGATTGTGAGGGAGATCGTTTCAAGAGTGAAGGGGTATTGTGTTAATAAAAGGTAGTAGTACTCTCTCCAGATCTCGCAGCGCCTACAATAACGTTTCAGAGCTTGAAGATGTGGTGTTTCTGTTGTTTCAATGGCAGGTTGAAGTTCGTAAGCAGCAAATAAGCTGAGGAGGCTCTTTGGAATGGCCAAGGATACAGCTGTGCCAAGCCGGGACTAAAAAGTTACGGAGGGACGCCGAAATGGACTACTGTAATGTATGTACTCTTGGGTGCCTTGGGTTGGCTGAAGGTTCTCTGGCGCAATTTAAGCACCAACAACTCCAACCTCTTCCCAGTTCTATCGGACGATCTTTAGGACATCCTTCAGTTCACCAGGGTGCTTGCCTGTAGGACGTCCCCAAATATGGAGTCCCACATGATCGTCCGTATATAGGCGGGGCATTATTTATTGTGAGCTGATGAGGAATGATGTGACTTTATTTGGGGAATGCCAAAGAGCTTCGTTGAATCCCATGGCAATTCTAACATGCACCATCTTTATACAGTCGTCGCGAAGATCCAACGAGTCTCTTCAATGCTTCCGAGTGAAGCCACGCAATTCCAATGCGCGTAAATACCCATTGTACTATCCAATCACACACCGGTGTCCCGAAGAGTAATCAGTCCTGGCCCGCCAGCAAAATTTGGTTAGATGTCTTCCTTTGCGACGCCAGCTGGAGCGTACAGAGTTTTGAGTCTAGGAGTGGACTGGAAGGCTTATGCGAACTGGCGATATGTTGAACTATTGGATTAATGAGATAATGGGTCTTGCCATCGGGTTTCCAGTTCACCTGCACTGGTTAAGAATCGGTCAATTCAAGGCTTGATCACCTTGGAACTTTGAATATCAAAATTAAACACCAGAATTTTCCGAGTGGCCTGTTGCGCTGTTGCAACCAACAAGGGCGCTGCAAGGAATTACCGAACGGATCTAGAGAAAATTCAATGTTCCCAGGGAAGTTAACGAAAGGAAGGAATGCGACTGTGGATAAAAGATGATCTAAGCTTGTCATGTTATATGTATAATAAACTAGAAACGCTACGTGAAAACAAAAAAAAAAAAAAAAAAAGCGAGAGAGAGAGAGAGAGAGAGGTGGTGGGGGGGGGTAAGGAGAAAGGGTGATGTTTCCGTAGACAGGTCAAACTGGAAAAAGTCGTTAATGTAAGGAGGCGCTATGGTGGGGGAAACAAAAAACAAGAAGACACGGCACCGAAACGCCAAACATCTGACTATTTGAGAAAATATCGTTCGAGGAGACATGAGGATGGTTCAGATTAGGGGAAGAACGCGAGCCATACAAGGAATCGATTGTGCTTGCTATGCTGTTAAGTTGGGAGAAAGGGACCACGGAAAGAAGGGAGGAACAGCAAGAAACGGGGCAACAAAAAACGACCAGTGTCAATGGCAAGAAAAGGGAGAAATATAAAAAGAGACAAAAACATGGGAAGAAGAGGAAGAATGGTATAATCATGAAGATATCACGCAAAATAGGTGATGGTTAGTATGGATATATTAGCCAAACCAGCCCAATCGCCGCAAACACTTAACCGCTGGTGGTAGTCCAGCACCAGTAAAATGTCATTACGCGGAGAGCATATGGGGTGTTCTGATAATGAGAAGATGTGGATGCAATGTACGTCCCGGATAGGCTAGAGCGGTCCAGAATTAAAAGTAGGTAAGTCGACATTAACCTAGCGGAATTCCATGGCTCCAAAACACCCGTTGTTTTCCATGTGCTTAAGCTCAAGCTGCTGGTATCTGTAGCAAACGAAAGTAGTAACACCATAGTTAGCAAACCACTGCAGCTTCCCTACCCCAACAGCCAGCCCCAATTGGAATTGATTGAAATACGTACTTCTCGCTCTTCGCATGGAAATATATACCACTGACCGTCCCCTTCACTCGATTAAAACAAATGTAGTAGAATCCCTCAAAACTCGCACCGGAGATAGTTCTAACGCGGTGGTCTGGTACCAGGAAACATTCTTTCCACCTCATGAAGATATCTGGGTGTTGCGCAGCAGTTACAAGTTTGAAATCGTCCTTTCTGACGAATTTGGCTATGGGCCTGTAAGCCGGGAACCGGCCCCAGTGCTGCAAGTCGGTTTGATCGGTCGCGCCCCACGACGGATGATTTGTTAGGAACGAGTATTTTGTGCCAATTATTTCCGCTTCGAAAAAAGTCGTAAGCGTTGGATGGTCTTCGGTGAGTCCTAGAGTTGGCAAATAATATTAAACACGGCCCAAACCCAGCAAAAAATACAAGAACCACACCACATACCTTGAATTCTAAGGTAGCCGCATAAGTACCATTCAGCCATATCAACGTGTTTGATTTCTACGTCGACATTGTATATCTGACGGTCTGATTGCTGTGTTCCAACGAATTTGCTGCCCGCTCTGAGGAAAGATGACCAATGATTGGGGAGGAGCTATTTACACGATGAAGAGAAGAAAATATGTTAGCAAAGCATTGAAAACTTAATTTTAAAACAGGACACAGAGTCAGCTTACTCTCACAGTGGAAATCTCGTAATCCATGGTGGATGTTGTGCTGGATGTGTACGCGGGTGGGTAGACGTTGGCTGGCGGAGGTGCGCATGCCGACACGCTCACCGCAGGCTTTAGGGATTCCATCATCTCAACATCGTCGTCAGCCTTTGTAGATTTCTGGGAGGCGACCTGGGATGATATTTGGGATGATATTTCGATGTTCTGAGAAAGGGCTGTCTGCGAATGTGCATTGAGCGGTTGGCTTAATTGCGACTGCGAATGTGGAGTCGATGCGGAGGCTATAGAGGAAGCATCGTCGTCAGCATTGGGGACAATGCGTTCCTCCGACGATGCTCTGAAGGTGGCGATCCTGTCGGGCTCTGGGGGGCAGGTAGGCCGCGGAGCAGATACGGGGTCGGGAGAGTATGCGGTAGATAGCTGTTGGGGATTACTGCTCGGGGTCGGCATGGATGATTTGATAGACCAAGGTTAGAATCCAATATCTCAACGATGAAGGCATAAAAGAACCCGCATCAGGCAAAAGGAACATAGAAATCCAAGTCAAAAACCAAGCAGCTAAGAGCAGCAGAGGCAGAGAAGACAGAATAAATCGTTAGACAATGAAGCAAAAGGTTTATATGGGTGTCGTGGAGATGTTACAATGATTTCGCCTGTGGGACGGTTTCCCAGAAGGTTGGAGTTGGCTGAGCCCAGTCAGCGACCCAGCGACTGTCGAGCGTCAGTTGGCAGAAGGTTCCAACCACCCATTGGACGGACCATCCACCATCCACCGTCCGGTGTCCAGCCCAGCTTGGCCCCGGAAATGCGAACGCGGGGAAATTCATACCTATGCACAGCATACAAATGCCTGGATAGGGAAGTAGCCCAGGGTTATTTAAAGGGAACAATGCATATATATCCTATTTATATCTACTATAAAACTGGCATCAACCCAGCCTACTACAACAACATCAACAACACCGGTGTACCGAAGTAAGCTTTTGATTCCGATTGTTGGAGAATCCCAGTCAAAGTTATTGAAACCCCGTTTATCTCTCTGGTTTGTGTGATTTTACAGAGCCATGAAAATCCGTTAAAGCCATTAAAATTAAATCAATCAAATCTATCACCCCCCTTGAATTTCAACGCCAGTACCACCCAAGCAGCCAACAATATATAAAAGAGAGCATGCCGTTCAATATTTTCCTTCTCGTTCATGACCTTCGTCAGCTACAGTTGTTCAGATAGGTTTGATCTGTAATCTTGCCCACATCAGATAAACACAAATATAAGATATGCAAGAGAAGAGTCGAAACTGCTGACCTTGAAATGTAACGAGATCAGCGAGAAGACCAGAGCCTTGAGGTCCTGGACCAGATAATAAAACACACGCAGTCCCTCAGGATCGGCGGACTCGGTGACATCGACGAGGGAGCCTATTTTCGCTGTCTGATCTAAGTTAATATAATTTGCACACGTGCCCTCTATGCGTCAGCTATGCTGCTCAGGTTTCATCACCTCAAACGAGATATGGTCATTCCCCAGCCGGATCTCCAGCTCCTGTCGCCCATCCTTGTTCTTTTGTGGCCATTTCGAGTCATCTTCCCTATATACCGTTTAGACTAAATGAGAACATGCGAAGGTGGAGGGATACGTGGGAGGGGGAGCCCAGGTGCCGTACTTCATGATTTCGCTTTCTTTGATAATGCGCTTGATCTCTGAAATCATCAGGGAACTGACGCACACTGCAGAATTGCTTAGCTGTGGTAGTTCTTCATAATCAGGGAGCATGATAGACAAATATCCAAAACATACTCTCTTTGCGAATTAGGGAGTCGTTTCGATAGTTAGAATTGTTCGCATACCGGGCAGAAGCGCTGCGACCGTCTCCGAGAGATCTAAAGTCGAATTCTAAGATTTCGTAAGTAGCCGGAAAGTTGCCATGGTTAATATCAAAATGAGATTGCCTCTTACCTAGAAACTCGTGTCCGAACCGCCCAGAATGCCCTGAGCTGGACGGGCTGTCAGCAGCTGAGGAGACCTGGAACATAAAGGAGATATTCATCTTACTAGTAGCGGACGTAGAAAGGCTCATTCGACGTTGCCATCTTCGCAGCTGTCTTGCTCTAGAAAACAGAGTCTGCGTTTTTGGTCGTTCGGTTCTCTTCTGTTCAGTAGTTGAATATGCAGTAGCAAGCAGAGCCTCAAAGGATGCATTTCATGTTAGAGGATTCCCCGGCTACCCGAGGTCACGTGCACCTATGTATTTATTAGTAGCTAGCTAGCTTGCTTAGAGTCACACAATGCAACAAGGTTGATAACGGTCCTCTAAGAGGTTATAAGACCCTTGAATTAGAGGTCTTTCGCTGCAAACAACGTGAGGAGAAGCTGTGAACAAACAGCTATGAACAAACAGCTATGAACAATGTGAGGAAAATTGCGAACAACAATTGGATGACATTGATGGTCAACCTATGTTCAGATGGAATGCCAGATTTAACAAAAGAATATATGCCAAAAAGGAGACAAACCAAGGATCTGAGAATAGGACCCTGGAGAATAGGACTCCAGAGCCTGCAGGTTCACTGCCTACATCTATTACAGTCTGTAGAAGTGTCTCTGGAGCATTTGAAATAGATAAAATGATTCTAGAAAAATCAGACAAGTCTAATAATACATATAAAGACCTGGGTTGATGAAATATCAGAGAATATGATTGACTCTAGTGACCAAGTATCAGGAGTTAGTGAAGAAATTCTGATGAGATTAGAGATTGCAAAACTTCAGCAAGAAGTTGAAATGATAAGAGCTAGCAGAGAGATACTCATTATCAATACTGATAGTAATGAAATAAATGAAGATCTTGCAAACTATCTACAGAAAAAAGACAGAACTATTGTCATAATGAAGATCTTAACTGAATTTAGAGATCAAGTGAAGCATATCAAGAAATCTGTTATTCTGATTGATTCTGTGAACTATTCAATATGAAGAGAAGAGATAATACTATCTGCTAAACAATCTGAAATCAATGATATTCTCAATGAGAAGCAATCTGCTCTGAAGAATAATGTCAGTATAAATATGCAATGTTTTTGAACTGAAAGAAATATATGACTCTATAATTATATATTATCTTTGATCTTTTTGCAAGCAAGATCTCATTTTACAATATTATCAGATCATCAGTTGTCAGTATATATTCTATAAATAATCATAGAAGAGAACTTCTAAAAGAGATCTACAGTCTATTGCATTTGTTTTTTTAAGAAACTGATTAGTTTAACAGTTAAAATGAAAGACTCAGATAGAGTTTTTATAGAATATCTGATTATTATTTAGACTGAATATACTTATTTGAGATATAAGATTAAAGATTTTGTTCTTTTTAACTACTTGTTAACTGATATCAGTGCTGAATGAGTATTATTCATCAGAGATAAAATGAATCACATTGAAAAAGATATTAATATCTATGATATTAAGATAGATTTTATGAGACTATATCAAAGATATTCTATTATATCTATTAGTCTCTGAACAGAATACTGTCTTGACAAATACAATAAATTTTACAAATAATATTCAAGATTTATGAAAAAAGAATAAGAGTAAGAATAAGAATTTAAGAACTAAAGACAAAGATAAAGATAAGAAGTTCAAGTAGAATAGCAATAATATGAAAAAGATATACTATTACTGTCAGAAGACAGAATATCTCAAGACTAACTATTGAATAAAATATTCAAAAAAATACTTTAAAAATTATAAAGAAAAGAATAAATATAAAAATAAGAATAAAGACAGCACTACTTCAGTTCATAATATTATAAAATAAATATTCTCTGTAAAAAAGATGATTTATTTCAGTGATAAAGTGATAAAGGATATCTGAATTCTAGACTTTAGATCAAAAGTTCACATTACATCTTTGAAAAATATTGTTGAGATTATATCTTAGAGAATGAATATCATGATGAAGATGACAGATAAATCTACAATATCAGTAGCAGATATAGAGAGAATATACATTTCAATTGATAAATTAAATATTAAACTGAATGATATTTGTTATATTCTGAAGCTGAAGATCAATCTAATGAGTCTTGAAAAACTTATATGCAAAGATTATACTTTTAAATAATTAATATACAGCAATAATCATTCAATCTTGATAATATCTTTTGACAGAATGATAGACTTCACAGTATATTTAAATGAAAAGAATATTTATATGATGAAGAAATCACTAGTATTAAGAGATTTGATTCATTTTATAATATTAAATGATGATTTTGAACATGTATATATCTTGCAATCAAATAATGATTCTCTAATAAAGCTGCTCAAAGGAAACATCAAGACTTTAAAATACATAATAACATAGTAATATCAAAAGCTGAGTCATTTAAATTCAGTGAATATATCAAGAATGACTGTAGATTCTAGACTAGAGATATAAATAATAAATCAAAAAACTTTATTATTCTATAAGATATATATACAAGTAAAAATGATCTATCTATCTTTTGTCTTAATGAGCAAAGCTGTCAAATCAGCAATGAGATTTTTTATGAACCTTGCAGAAGAAGAAAAAACACTATATGATGAAGAAAATCTACTCACTGAAGAAGATACAAGATACTAAATGAGAATTACTGATGATATCACTTACTTTAAATAAATTATTTTAATTATCACAAAAGCAGAGATTATATCAGTACTCATAAGCTTAATTGACATGATTGAAGTAATATCTCAACAGTATATATAGACTTTATACTGACTACTGATTTAGACATTCAATTGCAGACACAGCCTCAAAAGTCCGCTGCTACTGAGAATAATATCCAGCAAAAAATTTTGAAAAGTTCAAAATTGATAATCTCAAGATGTTTTATAAAAATAAGAAAATAGTGTATAAAGTGACAACTTCAAATACATTTCAATCAAATGACTTTGTAGAATGTGTGAATCAATTAGTGATGAATAAAATAAGAAATCTACTATTTGATAGTGAGCTTGCCAGAGGACTTTGATATAAAGTAATGCAGACAGCTGTAATGTTGATAAATATATTCTCTACATCAATAAAAATTTTTGACTGCAAAGATAATAGTTTATTGATATTTTTTGAAGTTTAAACAGAGGTTCAACTATCAGCTCATTAAATTCACAGATGAAAGTACAAGATTTACAAAAAGAATCTAAAAATGATAAATAAACTTGCAGATAGAACAGATGACAAGAAGTGATGATTAATAAGTTATCAAGAATTGCATCAATACTATATATAAAACTCAAAAGAATACAAATTAGAAATTTCTAAAAATATTATTTTTGATGAAGATTTTATCACAAAATCTGTTTCTGCAAATACTGTGAGTAAAGCTATTGAGATAATGAGAGAAGATATTAAACTGTCAAAGAAATTAAATGTTATTAATTCTCTGAATGACTGATATCACTGTCTGCTAGAATAACTACTAAAGATAAATTAGAGATTCTGAAGATATTAATTAATAATAATCTGAAGAATATTATTGATTTAGTCTATCTATTTGATGAGATAGAGCTAGTTAAAGATAATGAATTTGAGATACCTGTCAGTAATACTGATTCTGTCCTGAGCATATTTATAAATCACTTAAATAATCTGATAGAGGTGAAGAAAAGCTCAGATTGAAATTACTAACTTAAGATAATAAGAAAAGAAGTCAAAATATTTAAGAATAAGAAAACATATATTATTATTGAGAAGATGCCTGAGATAAATATCTTGATAGACAAATGAGTATTTGACTATAAGTTGAATAATAAAGATAAGATAATTTATTTTAAAATCTGCTGAGTGATTAGAGAATTTCTGCAGTAGTAAAGCATTCACTACTTCAAGTTCTATGCTGCAGTTGTCTCAGAGCTTATAATTTACTCTCAATTCACTATATCAACTGTCAGAGATTGAAAATTAAAGTTGATTGACTATATGTCAGTATTTTTGAATAGTGTATTACTACAGGATGAAATGATCTATATGCAGTTATCTACAGATATTAAATATAAAAGAAGAGAACTGGTGAGTCTTCTTAGACAGAGTTTGTATGACATGAAGCAAGCTGCAAGAATTTAATATTTTGTGATAATAGAGTATCTCATATTACTGAGATTCAGAATTTTAAAATATGATAAAAGATTTCTATTTTATTCTATTCACAAGATTTATCTAATATTGCATATTGATGATTGCAGAGTTACAGACCTTAAAGAGAGAGAATTAGATTAAGTATTGAATGAGATACAGAAGAAATTTAACACAAAAGATATTAAAAAAACAAGTATTATCTTAAAATAAAGATCAAATGCAGGTCAAATAATGACTTAGTAATCTCATAGACTCATTATATTGAAGAGATTCTTGAAGATTTTGAGATAAGATTAACTTTATTGATATATTTATAATAACAGATATATAATTTGAATTCATATTAGAGAGAGATAATGAATTGAAAGATGAGTTTATAGCTATGAGATATTATTATAGACTTGAATTACTTCAATATTTTATATTAAGTATAAGGTTAGATTTGATATTTTCTGTGAATTATCTATTAAGATTCAACTCATACCTGAATTAGAACTGCTGAGTGACTATGAAGCATGTTCTTCACTATGTAAAGAAGATAAAAACTCTGAGAATAGTTTATAAAAATGAAGAAGATGATAGAAATCTACAGTTAGTTGCTTATTGTGATTCAGATTGAGCAGATGTAAACTCTCAATATAAATTAACATCTGACTACATCATCATGATTAATGAATTCTCAATATCATGATACTGATAATGTCAAACATTAACTGCAAAATCAATAATAAAAGTAGAATATATTACCACTATTGAGACTATATGTGAGTTTATTTGATTGAATGATATGCTGCAAGATGCAGGCCTGATGAAAAAGAAGTCAAAGATCTGCACAACATTGCAGGTGAATAATAAAGATGTCATTGATCTGATAAAAAAGAAGTTCTTGACAAAGAGATTCCATTACATAAAGATTTATTATTATATACTTTATAATCTAGTTGAGAAAGGAGAGATGGAGCTCTCACATATAGATTTTACAGTGAATAAAGCAGATGGATTTACAAAGCCTCTGCCAAAGCCAGCTTACAATGAATTTGTGGAGAAAATAGGATTGACAGAGGTCTGATCTCATTGATGAGAATGATTGATTTTACATGGTTTTGCAGCCCCTAAGGAGGTGTAATGAGAATACAGGTTAGAGAAATAATTGTGTACTTTCTTTGCAAAGTTACAGTACAGAGGTGTAATAGAGCTTTTGCTAATAGAGAAACCAGCATCTGATTCCTGTATTTAATTTTTATTGTGGATTTGAGGGCATTCAGCAGCTAGGGGATAGGGCAGAGCTCAGGCTCACCGTGGCATGGGGGGGTGTTGGAGGATTCCCCGGCTACCCGAGGTCACGTGCACCTATGTATTTATTAGTAGCTAGCTAGCTTGCTTAGAGTCACACAATGCAACAAGGTTGATAACGGTCCTCTAAGATTTCATGTTGTGCTTAGTCATCCACACCATCTCTTCGAGTGGACAGGTTGGACATTGACCCAGCATTGTAAGCTATGATCCATATCAAATTCTCCTTTAACATCTCCCAATTGTCCTGTTCCGACACAGATGATTGTTCGGACTGAGGTGGGGATGAGGCCACTGTGACTATTTCCTTTCTACCCTCTACTTCGCCACCTCATCGCCGTATGCTCCCCATCTCTCAAATATCGGGATCCGACAACTAACAGTCTTCGCCAGTCTCGCCGTCCCTTGACATCCTTTCCAGCATATCGATTAGCAGGGCGCGTAACGACTTCAGCTAAAAATGGCATCGTATCTGGAACATTCGTACAGTCTGGTGCACCAGGACAATCCTGCTGATCAGCCCACGCTGCAGGACTTGAAGACGCAACTCGAGAAA